AGCAGTGTTAAATGTCCAATTTCTTCCATTCTGAGATTCTGAACATAGTGAATGATTGAATCTGACAAACTGCAATGATATGAGTTTATTTCCATTTTTGAAACTTTATTACACAATACACGATAACAAGTTTACCATCATTTTTACACAATCAACTAATAATGTTGTAAAGATGCAGGAAATGTCAAACAAACACTTTTACGTATCTTATTACTTAAATAATAAGGCTATTAACATGCCTAAGAATTAAATCTGAGGAAATCTGAGGAAATGGGAAAAAACAGCATAACTTCTAAAATAATAGCCCGATTATGCTGATTTTCGAACTCAACCTGCGTTCTAGTAAGACAGACCATTCCTGTGAGTTTAATGACAATTGGGCTTACTGTTTTTCTTATATTGTGTTTACAGTGTTGCATATATGCTGAACAATGAAAAAACCGCATAACTACTAAAATAGTAGCCCGATCATGCCGATTTTCAAACTTGACCTGCGTTTTAGTAAGATTGATTATTCCTGTGAGTGTCATGACAACAGGCCTAACGGTTTTCCTGTAAATGTGTTTACAAGGTTGCATATATGCTGAAAAGTGAAAAAACAGCATAACTTCAACAATAATGGCCCGATCATGCTGATTTTCGAACTTGACCTGCGTTTTATGAATATTCATCAGCTCTGTAAATATAAAGCCAAAAAGTAAAACTGACTTCCACTTATCGTGTTTACAAGGAAAGTGCACGGCGACGGCATCGCCATCGGCATCGGCGACGGCGACGGCGACGACAGACGCAGGTGATGGCAATATGTGCAGACACATCTGTGTCTGTACATAAAAAGTAGAATAAATCAATAAGAAAATAACGAAGTTGTGCAAATTAAATTTTTCATGTTTTGTATTATCAACAAATTAAAACAAGACATCGACAATGGTATGGCACAAAAATTTTAATAAAAAATTAAAAGAAACGCATCCAGTGACAACTAGGTAAGATAGACCACGTTGAATTTCTAACATGCCTTTTCGCTACAGCCTACTCGGAAAAAAAAGTCTACTAAATATGTTATGTATAAATATACCATTTGGCACTTACGAAGTGGAAAGCGCTGTCTCGGCAAATGTGTATAAACAATTAGATTGACTGTTTTAAAGCGTCACACGACGACCTTTCATTTGTTAAGGAAAAAAACAAACATTTTTTTCATAAATTTATTTTATTTTTAGATTTTACTTGCGCCAAGCATTCAAACGAATCAAGTTCCATAAAACAGATAACATAAAGCAACATAATGTAAAGAGCATAGCAATCCATAATCAATCGACCAAACCAAATAGCACTTTGACAGCAATTTTACCGTAAGCATTTACTAATATTACAAATCGGGCCTTTTTTTATTACTATCACGAGTGGTGGATTAAAACAAAGACTGCAATGTGAATAAATGCACAATAGATGTCACCACATGCTGGTGGTTACTATAGAGTCACCAGCCCACGCGCTAGTGGCTACAAGACAAGCTTCCATACCCACAATCGTACAACAAATTTAACAAAATCGTCAGCTCAAAATAGAGATATTGAGGATCACAATGCTCATTGCATGGTCACCATAAACAGGCAACAAATCCCGTTATTCTAAACAAATCCAGTTTATGGAAAGACAAACATTCTCAGATACTCGCAAACAATGCACCCATTCTTTAAGCACTGGGCCTTACTGCCATCCCTTAAATTCTGCTATATAAAATAACGGTTATGAGACAATTGATAAAATAACAAGGTATCTTAATTAAGGTGCATAAAATTGACCGTTTTGGGCACACTTACAAGTCTCTTTTGGTTGTTGTTACAATTTTGGGAACGCCATGGAAATAAAGACATTTTAAAGAGCAGTTTCTTTCTTAAAAGTAAGATTTGACTGACACTGACCTTGCTTTTAATATTCCACTTGGGTCATATCAAGCAGAATTTTAATTACAAAAATATATATTTAACCTTAAAACATTTTGGGGAAATAAAAATGGAAGAACCCAAGTCCCAAGAACAACAACAAAAATCGAAATAACCCTATTTATACTTATGCTAGTATCTACTTCAAAACAACTCTGTAATATTAAATATCTAGCATTGTGAATTATTCAAAAAACTAATTTAACTAAACATTTTTTACTCATTACATTTTACACAGGCTAAAAATTCAGCTTTCTTTCCATAAATATGGTGTGAAGCCAAAACAAACTTCATGCCTATGTACTTTAAAGTTTAATATATTCTAGGCCCCAATTATTGGCAGCGCTCTCACATAATAATCTATGGTCCCTTCATGTGAACTAGTGCCACCTATCATACCGTTTTCTGGATGTAACATTTAATGGACTCTACGTGTTGCACTAAACAATGAATTTATTTATGATAATGCACTCAACAATTGGTCCCTTTCGCACATCATTACAAACTGTAGGCATTATTAACACTTTAAAATGCATTAACGATAATCTTTAAATACATATATAACGGAATGGGCAATCACTTAATTTGCTATATGGAATACACTGGCTTAAAATATCTGCCAAATAAATTAATAAGAATTAGTTCAGTATTAAATCATTTGTATAATATACGATAGTTTTATACTAATAGTCATACATTAAATACTCATATTGAGATGGAAAGAACTTAAGGATGACCCCTTTAATCTTGGGTTATTTATCAGTCCCTAGACCACTCAAGAAAGGATGGAAGAAGGGGGAGGTTCTATCAATAGTTCAACCATCATTTCCCACCCCTTAAAATTAAATACTTTTGGCTCGTTGATCTACATTTACAGTTTACTCAACACGTTTTGCACATGTTTTGTCTCCATACTCTACACACAGCACTGCTAGGAATGAGTGACATTAATACCCAACCCTGAGATTTTCAGAATTTTTTTTCTACACAAGTTCTCGTGTGATCGTGCTTTCAGTGTAATGTAATTCAAATAATTGCATTAAAATTTAACAATAATATGATTAAGCATAAATATCAACATTAGCTGACTTTTCTTTCATTTATAACCACATAGTTACATAGTTTGCTAACAAATAATTGGGACATGTACAAAACAATTAGATAAAGCCTTACCACCCTTCTGATATCTAAGTTTAACAGAAAGTTTTTGCTACAAAATGAGACATACTTGGCTCATTAGCTAGAGATATTTTTGATAGACGCATAAATCTGGATTATTCTGTACATTCCTAACGAGGGATTCAGCAGTACAAACACTTGTTACATTTAATACTAGCAGTATTCTATTAACATGGAGGTTATGATTTTTTTTTGAGACTAACAGGCATTTGCTATTTGGGAAAGGCAGCATTTTTATAATAATGATATATATCCTTTTCAACTATAAACATCCCTCTTTATTTAGCTAACTTCTACTGTTAATTCAACCATGTAAAGGCATTCACCAAACACAGGCACAGAATGTTTGAAAGACTTGGAACTTTTGTCTTATATTCTATACTTCCCAAATGTCATCCCATATCGGCTGAGGGCTTCATGCTTCTCAGATTGTGCAATTTTTGTAGAAACACCACACATCTTCACAGCACCATCCATGCATACTGTCAGTGATCCGGGTCCATTTGTAAGTGAACTATACATATATAAATAATAGATAACCTTCCACTTGTTTTCAAGTATATGTAATCAACTATATACACTTCGTCATGGATTCCACCCACGGTTCTGCTATCAAGGAATCTATGTCTGGCATTGATCCTTGGAGGCAGGAGTGGTGTTGTTTAAGCATCATTATTTCTTTGAACTAATCAGTTATCAAATAAGCTCATTTTTCATTCTCAGATTTCACGTTGAGCTCGTCTTGGATGCACACCACCTTGGGTTATGTATCACAGCAGCCAAGGTGTTCAATATTTTTTTTTTTTTTGTGCAAATGCAACAAGGTAAACGAATGCTGTTCTTGGTATATGTCTGACCATGCGCTGGAATGAAATACTGCAGCAGTCTCTTTTATAGCAAGGGCAATTTCAAGAAACAATGTTCATAACACATCTAACTGTGATTAATGATGTTCCCCTTACTCATGTTCACTGATTATTCAACATTTTGGTTCTTTGCTGCATTATTACCATACAATCAACTCCAACTGCAGTTTGATCATAGCTCCAGTGTAGAAAATAACTCATATAAGTAAATCAGAATAGAAGATCTGATGTTGCAGATTCTGACCAGGCAAAGTCATCATCAGCAGGTTTGACTGAGAGATCTTCGGGGTCTGGTTGTGGCTCCTCTTGTTTAGGTGGAGCCACTGGTTCATCCTGGTACATGTTCATACCAAACTGGTAATCCATCTGAAAACGGCCCTTGTAGCTAGACAGACCAGAACCTGTGAGAAAACGATCAAGACAAAAGACATTGCTTTAGAAAATCTAACTTTTCCAAGTTTTATAAATCACTTTGGATTATCAAGACATGAATTAGAACAATAGGGGTGAAACAAATGATGAAAAACAAGCTTAGTTAAGAGAGCCAAAGCTTATTCCTCAAAGTAAAAAGGAGGAAAGCATCACTTTTTGATTAAGTAATAAAATTTGGACAAGAATTTTAACAAGCATGTCTATCTTAAAAACACTTCAACATTAAAGACAACAGAATTTTTCTTATCTCTATAGAGATTTTGTGATTTTTTTCAGAAGGGGGGGGGGGGGGCTGGAATATGAAAAATATATATATATCTTGAAAAGTTTGCCAGAATTGTTCTGAACTATCAAGCTTTCTCAAACAGTTCTCAAGGACAGTTTCTACATTCAGATTCAGATGGAATAATGCACTTTCAAGATTCAAGAATCAGCGTGTCAAAAGTGAAACCTACCCCCACTCCCAAGGCCTTGCAGAGATGACAAACTACTGTTACTGCCCTTGTTACTGTTGTTATCAATGCTCATAGTGAGCACATCTTCCTCGTCCTCATCATTGTCCATGTCAGGGCTGTCTTGGATATCGTCCACATCCAGTTTGACACCTTGGGAACGGAGCATGTTCAGCATACAGTCTTCAGAGGGGTATTCGTGTATGCTGGCCAGCTGGTCATTGCTGAAACTGACCGCCAGCTGGAATGACATCAATGGTTTTAATATTAATGCACAACATGGCATAATGTAAATACTTTTATTAATGTGCAGTGACTTAAATAGTGGAGGAAGAGAATGTTTATTTGAAGAGAATGATCCATGTAAATAATTAATACTGGGTCTACACAAACCAATGTTGATCTACTGTTATACTAGTACATAAATTGTTACTTGACATATGTTAAAGTAATAATTCACCTTGTACTGAGGAAGTTGCAATACTGAATATTTATATCTAAACAAACTACAAAGAATCTTCATCATTCTGACTCAAAAGCTTCATTTGGCTCAACATGAAAGGGGGGGGAGGGGTTAAGTTTTATTTTTAACTGAAATGCGGAGATATTCTTTGTAGACATCATATACCTGTTGGGAGAGCAACTAAAAGATCCAGCTTTCTAATTCCCTAAACACATGAAAAATTATTCCGGGTACATTTTAAATCACATTTATACTTATACATCACCTACCAAGACAGGTGACTCACATAAACTTAATATCCATCCAGCGTGATAACCCCAATAAATAGGTGTAATTACAACCTGTAAGAATCTAGATATGTCAAGTAATTGCCGCCAGCACTCTCTCCCCACTAGTGCAACCTAAAACTGTGAATGGTTTTGGTATGCTCTGAATGAAAGCTGCTTAAAGGTTTATAGTTCCATTAAAAAAAATTAATAAAAAAAAAATAATAAAAAATTCCTCTTATTAAATAGTCTGTAATATTTTAATTAAGGTAGGGTAATTTATCAATGATCCCACTTCCACAACAATATTCCCTTCATTTTTAAAAGATAAATTTATTTACTTAAAACAACACCTTATCACAAATACTAAGGTCATTTATTTTCAACCTGGAGCACGTTTACCTATCTCAATCAAGGCAAGCATAGCTGGCATTAATACTGAAGTGGTCATGCAACCTCCATGACTAACATCCTACAGGCAGGCTAACTAAAGACAGTCGTCTGCTACCCTTTTTTCGCCTTCAACTGCCTTCAACATTTCACGCATGATCTACTGGATGAAGCGCAGGAAATAAATAACCTTAAAACAATATTTAACCTTGTAGCAACATTTCTGCTGGTGAATATTTCATGCACAAAACTAGTGGTCTGGTAATTACCCAGTGTGGCAAAAGAAGCACTAGTTCACTCACATCAAGCAATCATCATTAATTAAGGATGTACACAGAAATGTGTCACACTATTTTTTTTTTTTTTTTTTTTTGAAATCCATTTTGTCTAAACAATGATTTCATGTTGCAATTATACTGATAAAAAACTACAACCACAAAACTGTAAAACGTCCCTAGCCTCTTACATCAGCAAGAACCCCAGACACATTCATCACAAATGTGCTGATGATTCAGCCATAAGCCACTTTCCTCTCCACATCACTCTTACCCTGGTCACGCTTATCAAGGTCTCATAATATGTTTTGTCACATAACATAATGACGATTTCAAAATTAACATTCTGGTAGCTTGATCACATCCAATATCTAATTTCCAGTGAAATATTACCATTACAGTTCACAATATTAAGACATTTACGTAAGCTTTTTTTTTTGTGAGCTACAAGATGTTTAAATAAGACTTCCTGGACTGATATATTAGTGCAAACAATATCATGAAAATGCTGGCTACCAATGTGAACACAGCACAAAATCTGTTACTTTTTTTCATCTTAAGTAATCAGTGTTATTGCCAAGATAAATGACAAACTGAAAAAGGCCTCGAGTTTAATTAAGTCTGTCAATAGTGTTGTTTGAGGATATTACATGCATCACACGTCTTTGTTAAATTGCTGGATTCAAACAGCGAGGAGTTCATAATAATAAGACAGGTTTTTCATATGGAAATCGGGGGAAAAGCACGCACCTTTCCTCATCAAGAAGAAAAACCACATTATTTCAAATTTAATACACTTAAGGTCCTTAACGGTGTCAAAACCATTATGTATATGACTAACATGATGAAAAGAAGAAATGTAACCTATTGTGTATATTCAACACGCTCTCACATCTATGTACTACGTCATTCTTTTACGGTTCAATTATGCCCACTTTTTGCACAACCTCATTTTCCTCAGGATTCATGATAGTCACCCACTACTCAAGATTTCCATTTTCAACTGCTGTATCTGCATATATATGCATCTCCGTGACGAAGACCTGAAAACAGGTCTAATAAACTGATGAGATTTGAGATTTGATACCAGAAGTAGATGCGCAGCTATCAATTACTTCACACCTGAGTCAGCGGACACGTGTTGTGGAAGTGTGCCCTCCCTCTCATTGTCATACAGTCATATTTATCCGGTTTTAAGCACTCTCTAACACCTATTAAAGCTAGTTCATTTCGGCCAAATCAACCTGTTGAATCAAATCAAGGATATAAGGATGGGGGGGGGGGTACCATTTTGCTAAAATTGACCACAGTCACTACTAGTATTTGGGTAATGATTCCATAAAAAATGCCCTCTACTACAATGTCAACTGTCTCTCTGGAATGATGGTGACATATCTATAGCAATGTCATCCTTGGAAAAAACAGTCTGCATTTCAGTCTTAGGATCTCTCTCTCTCATTCTCTTTCTCACATAAAAATCTTATAAGATCTGAGTATATATATATATATATATACATACAGTGTTAGAAATTAAGGCTGGACCGTCTGCCCGGGGCAGACAACTTTCAGAA